GTTTGAGTTTAATGACAACACAACTTGTCAGTAAAGTCAATTTAAAAACTAAAATGTCCGATGGGGACTGTGAATAATAGTATTCACATATTTTAAAATATTGAAAGTTCGGTCAGTTTAGTCAAAACCACATACAAGTTTGTCTATTTTTGGAGTGAATCACAGCACAATAGCCTCACCCTAAAATGCAACTCTACAACAAACAGGATTCTACATACAAAACTAGCTCTTAAAAACCACCAAATGCTCATAATATATCGTACTTATGCATCACGAGAAGTGCTGTAATACGCCAGGCTTTACAGTTAATTTTACAACATCGAAGCGCATTTGAGTGTGTTGAACATAAAAGTGATATATTTCATAAAGAGAAAACCAATAAAAGGTAGTCAATATTACGATGCGTGCCTCCTCATAAAAAATATAAGTATGAGGAGGGGGTAAAATGCTGCATCATTTATGGACATTACATTTTGGTCCTTTCACAGGGCTGTAAACAAGCTGCCAGTAAACAATTGCGCGGCTGCGAGATTACGGTGGTACACTGGAATCATCTTTGATCACTGAAGGATGGTACATGGACTGCATAAAAGACTTTGATTGTACAGGGGGGAGAAAAGAGTGGAAGAGAAAAACAAAGAACAAGAGAAGAAGGCGGGAAGAAAGGAGAGGGCATCGCAGCACCGAGGGAAAACAAAGAACATGAAGCTCGCCAGTCAGTCACGAGGGAGACTATTAATACCTCCATAAAGTATGAATTCCTCTTTTTTAATAGCACCAACCATCAGCTTTAACACAAAAGGAAGTACAACCCATAGTTGTGCTGGATCTGATGATACAGTGATCATCAGATGCATGCATTGGCTGAAATTTCAGAATGTCCCATTCTCATCCCAGTATATTTCTTGGCGGCTTCAGTTTTCTTCAGTTTTGTGTTAAATAATTTTCCAGCCGTCCCCTCTTGAAATCCCCCTCTACCTGAATCTCTAAGCACGTGCCTTACATCGGCGAACGTCTATTATTTTTTTGCCGCTGTTAGTTAACAAGGCAAACATCGGCCGATACAGATGTTCAGCCGATACATCGGTGGATCCCTACTATTGAGGTAAACTGGCTTGGCTTTTTGTACATAAATTATGGCCACGAGGTAACATCTACAATGTGCACGAACAATTACATGCAAATATCAGCTCTGTCAAAGCCATCGGTGGAAATGAATGAAAATAAAGGCCTCCAAACATTTCCTACTTTTATGGACAATCAGAAAGCTGTTGTAGAGCTACTATTAAGTCGTTTCCCTTCTGATCAGACATGTGGCATGGATACTGTGCCAGAAGGGCCCCTGCTGTTATTAGCACTTAGAATGAAGGAAGATGACAAACTGTGATGGCGCCATTTCTGCTGACACGCTTCTCACTAACAGGAAATTCTGACACGTTGTAATAGCTCCGAACCGCGCCAAAAAGTCAAAGCAGTGCCAACAACGACAAGCCCTTCAAAAGGCAGCTGGTACACAAAGAAAGGCATGGCTGTTGATCTATGGATGCGGTTGACAGTTTGAGTTTGTTTCATATTTGAGAAAACAAAATGCTGGCGAACAGTTGGATGTGATGTGGACACTGGTGCCGAAGAGTTTGTGGTAATTTGGAGCAAGTTGAATGAGCTTTACATACATTACTGTCCAGCAGCAGATTATTTTTTAAGCATAGGAAGAAAGAAAAAAAACTAGTATCAAATTCAAACTAGGAGCAAAATCATATGGTCTGATGCTCAGCCAGACCATAGTCAAATCGTACTAACCACATAATAAAAAAATGTTTTTTCCATATTGCTTATTTCATTAGACAAGAAATCTAATAAAACTACAACAATCTTACTTTGGACTCTCTCTAGAAAATGTCTTCATGAACACCCTTTTTTTAAATGGCAAATCTACAATTTTGAAATAAACCAATAATTTTCTGAACTCATTCCACCATACTTCACTGTGCCAACAATTACAAACTCTAGCTGTCAGGCAGCTGGTACACCAAAAAGATTTGGTATGTTTCGCTTTTCACAGGAGAGTAGAATAACGCGGGCCAGATTGAATTTCTTTTGACTGAAATTTCATCTGCAATAGACAGTGCTACTTCTCCTGCTCCGTCTTTGGACAAGTGTCTGATTACAGATGAAAGAAAACAGCTGAGAACACGAGACATTTTCAAGTGGTGACAAAAAACAAGCTCAGGGACCTTTTTATTCACATTGAGGAATGGGTTTTTTGATCTTCAGCACCAAAGATCTTTTCAGTGCAAACGGGCAGAAACAGTGCTTGATTTCGTTAAATGAATCAAATGCCAGGTCTCCCAAAAGGCGTGTCGGAATAAAGCTACAGGGTCCTAGTGGCATACTGCACAAACTGATTATATTCAATTCCGGGGGGGGGTGATATTGCGAAAAGTTGACGCAAAAAGTCACAAATAATGAGCCCTCCACAATCAATATGTCTGAAGCAAGTGACAAAAAAGGGATGCAGCACCACTCAACTGCGAGCCGTGTCGCACATTAGGCAACACGCCAACCCCAGCTTTGGCGGCAAATATCTGCTTAAACGGCCAGTCCGGAAATTCAATTTGTTCCGTAAGCCATGGATAAAAAAGCAATTATTCACAGTCACCTCTTTCCCTGATCTGTTTCTTTAAGATATCTTCCATCCGGCTACTTACAAATAAAAAGTCCAGATTAGTCCTGTGTGGTTGTGTGCAGGGGACACAGAGAGGCAGGACTGCAGGATCAAGCCAACTTATAAGCCTGTCAGTCAATTTGAAAGATGGTGCTCAGCAAGTGAAGACGTGGTTTCCAGAAAAAAAAAACATCCCAACAGGGGTCGAAAAGCCACTTTATGATGGCTCAAACAGCAGGATGTCACTTTGGAGCATGGAGGGAACAAGTTGGTGTGTGTCAGAAGACTTCTTTGTAACCAATTACACAAAACGCTGTTCTAAAACCGAAAACTGGCCAACCCGATCAGAGCAAGCAAAAGGAGCCGCTGTCAGGGGAGATCACTGAGCCGAGGGCCAATTTACGCTTGGGGTATTAGGTGGGACTGAGCGTGACCGTGAGGGAGCATTGTCAAGACTTCGGGGACTAGTTGGTGCGTCTAGTGGGCCAGAGAAGAGCTCATGTTTGAAGCATAACCGTATTTATTGGCATACAATTTTGAGAAACACCTGTTGATTGAGAGACAAGGAATGAGGCGAGGTAATACAGAGTTGAATAATTAGGAATCGACTTGATATCTGATACTCATTTAAACGTTTAAAAATCAAGATAAAAGTACATTATGGTCTGAAGCAGAATTCTAAACTAATGAGAAGCTAAATCAATTCTGTCATTTTAATTCATAGCCTAAAAGTCTTAATCATTGAGTCATGTGTCACCTGTTTCATTGAAAACAATCCAATGGCATAACTGCAGCCTTTATTAACAAACAATTCAAAGTCATTCACTAAGTGTTTTATAAAGAGAAATAAACAAACAAATAAACACAAACAAGTATTTCTTAACTTCTTACAATTCTTTTCAAATTATTTTGGACCATTTCCAAAAGCAAACCAACCAACATCTCGAGGCACACTGGTTGAACAACCCTTAACAACACAAAAATAACTATTGATATTCACAAAATTTAATGAAGTTGGAAGGGTGGGTATCGAGAAAATTAGATAGTAGCATTATATCTGAAAAGTTGGGAGAAGCTGGGATTGGACAAAGAATAAAGCCAAAGAATGTTGAGTTATCTGACTGGGAAGGAGAGTGTGACGTCCAGGGAATCTCTCAAAGCTTATGAACAGTCGCCCCCTCTATATATTATACCTCAAATCCTCGTTGACACAAACTTTTCAATGGCAGACGTCTAATTAAGCAGATGGTTGAGGCTCAGTGATGGGGAAGAAGAGAGGTCATAGGGATGGATTAACGCCAAGTATAGAGAGCTCTTTGAAATATGCACGCCACAGTGTCTCTGACAGGTCCAGCCAACTCTGCCAACTCACTAAAGATAACCGTTAGCCTTCAAAGCTGCCTACTGCTGCCTTTGTCATATTAGATTACATTAGTGGTCCTATTAGTATTACAAGCAAAGCCCTCGGCGTATTAAACAGGGCTGAACGAACCTCAGTATCGCTCCAAAATAGAGTTCCTGACTAAATCATTAACGAGGCATTAGTATTGCTTTTGCTCCAAGACGTCGAACTGGGCTTGTACACTTGTAACTTGCATATTTATTGGATATTTTCAATCTATTCATAAAAAAGTAACCGACATTGGGTATAAACACAAATTTTATGTAAATACATAATTGCATATCTGAAAAACGTCCAACTGTTTCCTCAAAAACATGACAACGAGCCCTCGCTTTAAAGCCTATTGTAAAATGAAAAACATATTGTCCACATTTTTTAAGATTATGGCTCAGCGTTGACATAATCACCACAGCGTTGATGATAATTTGGCACAGCTGGTTTTAAAGGAATCCTCATATTTTTCCTAATTTTGCGCAATGTGTTAAGAGACTCACTTAAGCATTTTTTTTTTTTTATTCCATCTTTGTCATCACGTGAACATCAACAAGTGTGAGTGAATGTGTATGTGATCTCAATCAAAGAGCTCATCATAGTGACTTTGTATGGTCATGTTTTCCTGCTGTTCCATCTCTTGTCACATAATTGCTTTGTTTCATGCACACAAACACTTCTGTGAGAGATGTATCAGCAACGTAGCCACAAAGCCCTACACCACACCAGCTGCTGTGTTCATAATCATCCAAATTAGAACGGATCTCAAGGCCAAAGCGTGACACATGAGTGCTATATGATTGCACACCAGTTTGTTTATATCTTTAGTAATAGCTTTTCATTTTTGCTTACACTGTTTGGGTGTCAAAATAGGGCTACAATTTGATATACGCTAACACATAGAAACTGCAAGCACAAAATAATGAAACAAGATGTAGTTACCAATAATCGCTGGTGATCAATGATAAGAGGTGGCTGGACAGGAACAGGTGGACACTCCTTTTCGACCACGTCTTCAGAGGTCTTTAACTGCTCAGACTGGCTCCCCTGGCATGTCTCTGCTTTGGAACAATCTGCACAAAAAGAAGAAATTAATTCTATGGGAAAGTAATAAGTCATACGCACTTGAAAAAGTATATATTTTAATTTCAGTGCAAACAAAAATGTGTCAATTTAAACCATAACAATCCCTCTGATAAGTGAGAGACCAATAAAATAGAAACTTTTATTAATGAAAGCGTTCAATGGGTTCTTCTCAACTGCACAATATTTCGCTTCCGGCCTCTTCTGCTGTACCCATTATAACTGTTGTAAGACTTTGATACAAGCTAAAGGCATGGCTTTGTAAATGCTTGTAATGAGAGCGGAGGAGGAGCTGGTGGGCTTTCAAAAGAGCCAACGTTTATTTTTGTTTTGTTGTCTGATGACTTCCCCGACAAGCGGCATCTTCTGCAAAGGCTTCCAGCTGGCCTCCTCTACTACAGCGAATCCTTTAATCAAACTCATTTGCTTTTTGACAAGAGATTAAAGGGCAGTATTCTTCACATTTAGCAAATATTGAAGAGGCGGCGAATATTCAACACTGAGCAATAAAAAGGCACAGAGTATAACACAAAAGTTTAAAGAGAAGGAAAATATTACATGACGTTGAATCTTGTTTCACTTTATAGATTTATAGTAATATAGTAATAGTTAAATGTATTCATTTGGCATAAAAATAATAATGGCAATATCTCTGGGCATTTTAATGCTTAGAATTTGAGCTTTCTTTAATAAATAAAGGGTTAAAGTCTAATTTGGTGATGGTTGACAAGAATGCACAAATTGATCTAAAGGCAAGCAGTTGTAAGAACATTAGTCAACTGAAGAAATTCACAAAACATTTAGAGATGAGAGGTTTTTTGTATGGACAGAATTAGAAAAAGTGTGAGGGGTTAGGAGGAGAATTTGAGGAAATCGTGCTCAACTGGAAAAAGGGGCCATTCCCTCTCCGGTTTTGTGGAGAGGTCCTTCCTGAAGCGGAGGAGTTAAAGTATCTCAGGGTCTTGTTCACAAGTGAGGGAAGGATGCAATGTGAGATTGACAGGCAGATCGATGCAGTTGTTGTATCGGACTGGTGTGATGAAGAGGGAGCTGAGCCTTAAGGCAATGTTCTCGATTAATCGGTCGATCTACGTTTCCTCCCTCACCTCATGGTCATGAGATTTGGGTAATGACAGAGCTCCCAAATACAAGAGTGGCTGGGCGTTCCCTTAGAGATAGAGTGAGGAACACAGGAAGAACAGCTGCTTCTCCAGATCGAGAGGAACCAGTTGAGGAAGCATCTAGAACGGACGTCTCCCTGGGGATAACCCAGGACACACTAAAGGGACTATGTCTCCCAGATGGCCTAGGAACGCCTTGGGATTCCTCCGGAAGAGCTGGAGGAGGTTTGTGTGGATAGGGAAGACTGGGCGACCCTAATCCTCTGCTTAGGCTGCTGCTGTGGCCCGGGGACGGATAAAGCTGAAAAGAAAATGGATGGATGGATGGTAGATCTGTTAATTAATGTTTTAATAGTACTTTTTCTAATGACTAATTACCAATTGCACTTTGGGCTCATTGAATAGAGGTTGGGACTTAATATTTCAGCAAAAAAATAATAATAATAATAATGATCTAAGAAAATTAATAATTACGCATAATTCCACATAAGAGCTATGGGCATTTCAATGTTGAGCTGTTGGGCTACCAGGAGACCGAAGCGTTTCATTGTTGAGGGTGTTTCCAATTTAAAGACCTAATCTGAAGAGCTAGGTGCTAATCGGAAAATTTACCCGAATAATTAAGCAGTGGAGCGCGGTTGTCTGCATTTTTAGCTTGAACGGGCACGACTTAATAACGAATGATTAAAAGAGGAATGTGGCTGACACCTTGAATTCTACCTCTACAGTGTATGAGCTAATGGAAAACAAATTTGCTCAGTTTGATGACATTGCTCAAGAGTCAACAAAATAATTTTAATAGAGTCACACACAGTGAAAAGAGAAAATAAAATTTTTTTGTTTAAACGGTTTCAGAATATAGACCTATTCACATATTTTTTCCAGCATGACATTTTAATGAAAGCCCTGACGTGTACACAAACAAAAATCAAGGATTTGTTTTCAAGATTGAGGTCAATGTAAGTCATTAGAGAGCGTAGGCCATTAGAATGTGTATTATGTAGTTAAATAAAGTAGCCAATTTGCATTTTTTTCCCCCAAAAAGTGTAAGGAGCCAGGTATAAAGCCCGTTTCCAACCAGACCAAGCGTCATGTCAGGTTTACATCCAAAGTCAATTCGGACGTGCATCAGTGCGGCACAAAGCCTCAGCAGTAGCCATGGCACATTTTTGGAAGCGGCCACGAGGCATTGAGAGGGGCATGCTGAGCGTGTTGAACAAAGCTCAACTTCTGCTGAAACATTTCTGAAGTCAACCAATTGGAGAGCAGCACCCCTGACACAAGTCACAGGCAGGTCAGAGGAAGAGAACAACGTTGTCCCAGAACTAAACTGGGACTGAAAATGGAACAGGGATTGTGGCCATATGCTTGCACCCTGAGCTCCCATTCTACTATGACTGTACAGGAAGTGATCAAAGCTTGCTTAAGTGAGAAAGAGGAGGCTGCTGCGTGGGGCGTGAGGTTAGCCTCATATTTGGAAATACAGAAACAGGCTTCCAAAACGCTGCAGGTCGTTGAGGCATGAGGTTGTGACCACTCCTTTAGGCTATGCCAGGGATGTCCAAACCAGTCCGAAAAGGGCCGCTGTGGCTGCAGGTTTTATATCAGACCCAGCACCAGAACCAAGCAGACTCTGATAGAAAACTTGCAGCCACAACAGCCCTTTTTGGACCGGTTTGGACACCTCTGGACTATGCAATCAATTATGTGGGGCCTCAAAATGTACTTTGCCATGATCACTTATGACCATATCAATCAAAAGCCAATGAGAACATACCTCTATCTTCTATTGATTGAGTGTGGCAAAGTCCGACAACGCTCTATTGGTCATTATTTGACCATAAATGTCCCACTGAAATACATGGAACTTGTGCAAATGTGTTATTAGCTAAATGCGGTGAAAAAGATTGCACGTTAGTATGATGGGAGGGAGCAGGGTGAGCAGGGTGAGCACCAGGCACTTTGCGGTGGTATGTACTCTGCGGTCGCAAGATAAGGCAAGAGGCTGCGTGCAGTTTTGGTAGGGATTATAAATCTGGGCAATATAATATAGCATAAAAAAGTGTTTGCACTGTACCTTCTTCATACGTATCATCTTCTACCTTCTCCAGGGTGTCTTCCGTATCCACTGGAGCTAGCCTATCCACTGGAGCTGGCCTATCCACTGGAGCTGGCCTTTCCACTGGAGCTGGCCTTTCCACTATGTCTTCCCTTTCCACTGTGCCAGGGCTTTCCACAGTGGCTGGCTCTTCTTTCTGGGGTACCTCTTGAGTTGATAGGCTGTTCGGAGATGTTTCTTTGTGCTCATCCAGTTTAGTTTTAGAGGGGCCATTGTCCAAAGCAGTCCCTGTGTCGTTGCTGCTGGGGAGGCTATGTGAATCCAAGCTGTCCATGGACTCGTTCCCATTGACACATTCTACTACTACTTGCGACTCCAGCAAACAATCTATGTGCTTGGGTGGTGGTTCTGTCCCTGAAGATTCTGATAATTCTATTGAAGGCTGTTTATCACTTTCGTTTTTGGCTTCACCGTCAGGACAATGAGTGACCTTTTCAGATTCATCTTTGGCTGCCATGTCTTGCTCTGGCGGTTCGTTGGAGCTCTCTTCTTCTGTGGAGTGGAGGTGTGGTAAATGTCCATTGGTTTGGGGGCCCATAGTTTCACAAGAAGACTCTTCATCCTCCTCTTCTTCTTCCTCCTCGCCATCCGTATCCTGGTCTTTGCTCTTGGAGTATTTCCGTTTGCGGATGATGCCTCGGCCCCAAGCTGACCTCCGTCGCATCTTGCGTTTTATGTGATCTGCACAAAAAAAAAAAAAGAATTGTACATTTGTGTTTCTGGATACACGGAAAAAGGTTGCCACTTCAGTCCTCAGGATGTTTATGTTATGTTTATGCAACTACCAATCTGTTTTAAATCTAGACCATAGAGGTTCGATTAAAAAAATTGTGTTTTCATTGTAGTAACACATAAGTAAATGTTTACTGTTGGCTACAATGAACTATGAAAGTCAAAGAATGATCAGTGTTCCTAATTTTTTTTAAATATAAAAATAAATGGGCTATCAGCAAACATTAAAGCACATAGTTTCCAAATGTTAACTGCAACAAATTATATTGAGTGAGCAGACCCAGATAAACAATAGTTCCAGCAATATTAAAAGTGCCTAAATAACATAAAAATATATGGTTGTTCTATTATTCTGTATTAAATAAAAGGCTAGCTATTTGTTGTTAATAGTTATCCTTATCTTTAGTTGATTTATTTATAGGCGTCATGCTTTTGTGCACTTGGGGATGTCTGCAGATATGGATGGATGTCCCTTGCTGGTGTCGATGTGCATATACAAAGCCGTTTCACTGGTTATGTTCCTCAAAATTTGTTAAAAGTCCTTATATCTAAACTTAGTTTCTGCAGCCTCTCTGCGGTCTGTGTCTGTCTATGGTGTGCCCTGTGAGTAGGGGGGCGGGGATGCTCCTTCACAGCAGGGAGGAAAGCAGAAGGTAAATCCTACACATATGAATGCATACATAGAAAAATGTATGGTTTCAATTATTGGGTAAAAAAGTTGTTGTCATCATTTTTGCCGATATTGGCGGATATATCAGTCGACGATAATGATTGTGCAACCCAGAACAGTGCATAAATACCTCGTCTCTTTAAAAAATTAGTAAGAGGAGAAATTAATAATGTCTTAAATTTTTTATCCATCACAAGCACCTGTAACCGTGATATCTTATTAAAGTGCACCACAATGACTGATGCTCAGAGTATAGCATACATTAAAAAGTTTAGTCGACATCTCAAACAGTCAAAAGTGATACGCAGTTTTTCACATACTACAAAAAAAAGCACCAAAAATTCTTTATAACAAATGTCCTGCGGAGATTGACCATATTTAAATGTGGTCAGATGGCCTTTCAGAGACAAACAGCGTCGGGTGACTGAAGATGCCGGCTGGAGCAGCAGAAATGCAGTCTTGTTATATCATGAATGCTGGACACTAATGACACCAGATGGAGCATGGGGGTTTTTAAAGAGGGAAAACTAGGGCTTGTTTTCACTTCAAATGTCACAAGCAGTGAGGTGGCTAGTGTTGTCAACAACAACAATAAACCCAGATATCAACCCAAAGCTATTCAGTAGATAGTTAGTGAAAAGGTGTCTCTGAGGGTTGGGACCAGAGTAAACTACTGCTTAACAAGTTTTGTTCAAGGCAATTTAAAATGCCAAATTGCCTTGTACACACATTGTTAACAATTAAAAACACAGATCAAAATGCAATAAAATACGTACAATTTAAAACTACTTAAACTTGTAGTGTGAAAAAAGCTGATAGGACTTGGTTCAAACAGACTCCATGAGCAGGAATCTGGATGTAAATTTGTTGGCAGCAATGACCAAGCAAATTGTTGAGAATCATATCTGGTGCGAGCAGCCTGTTTGACCCAACAGGTTACTAAGACATTAAATTGGAATTTATTTTTCAATGTATTGTAAGTAAAAGGAGCCAAAGCAAATAGGATCAAATCGTCCGTTCCTATAGGAGTGGGACATCATGCAAGTTTGATTCCATTAACACACTTTACAACAATGTTACATTATACATTTACATTATACATTGGGCCTCTTACACAACCCTTTATGTTCTTTCCCTGTAATGGCTATTGTTTGATTAAATAGGCTTTTACATTAAGACCGGCACAACAAAGTGTGGGAGACAAGAGGAGACAGAAAAAAAATTATGACCACAAGTCAGTACTCCAGAGACTAAGTGTCTGAACCTGACAATTAGCAGGGTTAACAGGGCCCGTCAGGAGAGCCGTAAAGACTCTCTTGATTGCAACTGTCTACTTTTTTTTTTTTAACCGGGGCTCATTTCATAGGTTACTGTTTGAAGGTTTATTAACTTTGCGCATTAACTTTTTAAAGGGGTTTGCAGCTTGGCGGGGAAAACTCGTCTTTCCAACAGCCCTTGAACAAAGTCGCCATATTTTTAATGATTTGTATAAGTGCAGTACAGTGGGTCATTTAAATGTGCAAGCAAAGACATTTTCAATCCAAAAATTGTTTAATCAGCTAATTGCATTTCAGGAAGGGCTATAAAATATAAACATTAAGAGCTTGTTGAGCCTTTATTAAGAACCTTGATCAATGATGGACTCATAAAAGAGGGTAAAGTGCATAGTCAAAAACTAGCTTCTGTAAAGAAAGAACAGAAGAAAAAAAACACTTTAATAGGGACTTGTTTAATCCATTAGTATCAAAGGGATAGTTTCACATTTTAGGTGAAGGTTGGAGAGAGAAATTCCCAAAATTGTTTTAACCACTTTAAAAATCCAACTATTTTTGCCTCAAGGGCACCTGTGACTACTAGGGATGCACCGATGCATCAACTGAACATCAGTATCGACCGATGTTTGCCTTGTTAACTATGAATGAATTAATAAATTTTATTTCAAGCATGAGCATGACACAACAACAAAAATGTAATTCATCACAAACGTGTGGTATCCTAAACATTACAGTAAATATATATTAACACAGATTACATATTTTCTTACAATTAAGTAATGTAAAGTAATGGTAGGCGCGTGCAAAGAGATACCGGTAGAGGGAGTCCGTGTGGCAATATTTTACAGTATCTGAAAATGCGTTACGTAGTTTGCAATATGTGTTCCAATGAAATGTGTACGCACTTTAACAGAATTCCACATCCTCTGTTGCTGCAGCGTTCTGACCCTGGAACAGCTCAGCGAACGCCGTAACCTTGCCATAATATGACCATAGACTCAGACTTCAGGTTTTAGGGGGTGGTTCTAAAGTCATAGGTTTTACAGGTATGTTTTACAGGTATGTTTTACCAGGTGTTTCAGGCCTAAATGGGTTAACACAACAAATCGTATTGAACATTTGAGAAGCAAGCATGAGGCGGGGTACATCGCTTGCATGCAAGTTGAAGAAAAAACGGAATACTGTAGCCGCCAAGAAATATAAATATAAATGTATATATATATATATTTAAAAAATATTGGCTATCTGCCAACATCGATATCGGCCCAAAATATCAGAAACGATGCACCCCTATTGACTACAAAGAAGGCTTGCAACAGGGTGAGACTGGCAATTATTATTTATCAAAACTAATTAAGTGATCACAGGGACTCATTCGAAAACAACCAAAACAGGAGCTAAACCAGGATTAAACCAGGGCTGTGGACGGGGGACTCAGTGCTTGTCTTTACCCTGAGGTTCTACTATGACTGTAAAAGTGCTGCTACAGAAGTACTGGCGTCAGCATCATATATATATATAGATATAGATATATTAGGGCTGTCAAACGCTAAAAAATTTTAATCGAGTTAATTACAGCTTAAAAATTAATTAATCGTAATTAATCGCATTTCGAACTATCGGCAAAATGATGCCATTTTTTCTGTAAATGTTTGTTTGAATGGAAGGATAAATGATGACATAGTGTAGATATGTACTGTTTTTTTTATCATAACAATAAATCCACATAAAATGGCATTAACATTATTAACATTGTCTTTTTGTAGTAGACACTATTTTTTCATCTCAACATGTTCCGCCTCTGCTAAAGCCTCCTCTTTCTTCTTCTTCTCTGTCTGTGGCTGTGGATGCTCTTCATTATTGTCTCTACAAACTATTGTTAGTTACAGGGATGGGGGATATTTGAAAACAGTCTGAAATGCATGTCAGCCAATGGCTGTCATTAACTGTTTTATTTGCTCACGTTTCATTTTTGGCCACAAATAACATGAAATGGTAGTGCAAAGGAAAAGTTAGGTATCCCAGCTTTAATTTAGCGTCTTTTTTGCTTCGGGCATTGGGTACATGGCCACGTAAGGCTACGCGTTCCCGTGCTGTTAAGCCGCTCACAGCTGCTGTACGCGGGAGCCGCTGTCCAAAGTGGCTGCAGCTGTCCCAGAACGCTACGGACTCCCAGCAATTGCCCCGCGGTCACGCACGCGGGGTGCCAGTTACTTGGCACATGCGTTAAAAGCGTTAACTTTTTTTACGCAATGAATGAAAACAATTAATTAACCCACGTTAACGCGATAATTTTGACACATATATGACCCTATATAGGGTTAGGGTCATATATATATATATATATTTAAGCACAAGTGAGTATACGCGCAATGTACAGTACGTTTGCCATGGGATAAAAGGGACAACCATCCATACAAGAGACCTGGTTAGTTTTTCTCATCTCCTTGAGCTATTGCCCTTTTGACTTCAATCTAAACCACGTCCGAAAGAGCTGAACTCAAGATGTACCTACGGTTTTGGGTTTCCTTTGATATGATCTATGAGACCGCTATGGATTACAAGAACGAGAAGGGAGGAAAATCTAATTTCTCTTTGAACTTTACCGGCATGTGGAGTAAAAGGCACCAGTCAGAAATTCACAATATTTTTCCAATCAATACATCATATGTGCTAAAATGCACGTTTAATTTGTCTTTTTCTGACCTGCAATCATCTGCTTTTGACCACTGGTCCATTTCTACTTCTGAAACTTTCCATTTAATCTTAAACTGTCACCTTGCAATGTCTCACGATTAGTCATCAGATGGCCATTTTCCATTTTATTTATGGCTTGTAGCTGAAACTTGAGCATCTCTGTTTTTAATATCTTTCAAAAGGCGCCAGACCATTAAGATACTAAAAAATAAGATGGTAGTTCATATAGGAACAGAACAATGTTTTGTTTAATTTGCTGTTAAAAGCAATGTGGCCCACAAATGGGGCCAAAACAAACTATCAATGTA